CTTCTCGCTAGCGTATGGCTGCGAGGCGATGATTCCAGTGGAAGTAGGAACTGGTTCACTTCAAAGGGAATTTTTCAATGAGGCAGACATTGAAGCACTCTTGCACACAAGTCTGGATTTGGTTGAAGAGCACTGCGACAAAGCTTGGTTAAAGATAGCTTCCTACCAACAGCGAGCAAAAAGATTTTTCGACTCCAAGGTCAAGAGAAGAGACTTTCAGGTTGGTGACCTGGTTCTGAAAGAAGTCCTTCTTGGTATAAGGGAACTGAGTGCGGGGGTATTGGGACCCAACTGGGAAGGTCCATACCGCATCGCAAAGGTAATACGACCTGGGACGTATCACCTTAAAAGGCTTAACGGTTCTAAAGTGCAGCAAGTTTGGAATGTTGAACATCTTCGCCCCTATTATCAGTAATTCCAAACTCTGTTACAGCTTTGATCATTTCTTTTTACTTGTAAAATTTTCTTTCTAGTAAGTATTATGAATAAGATTGTTCTGCTTCTTGTAAAAAAAAAAACTTGTGTCGTGATCTCAAGTCTTTTTGTTAATAATCTTGTTATTATAACATTTTGCAAGTTCAATGGTCAGATAAGTTATATTTGTTTTGTGAATGCTTAAGTTATAAAAGTACTATCATAAGTGACCAAAAGTTCCTTTTATATAATGAGAAAATATGTACAAGAGGCGACGAGGAGTTACAAAAGTTAAAAGCTGGGAGAACTACAAAGAACAAAAAAAAGAGTAATCATTGGTCTTCATTTCCAGGCCCCCCGGGCGTGACCTCTCGATCCTCTGGATGATCGTCAGCCTCTAGATCGTCCGCCTGATCTTTGGGAATGTTTGGCTAATAATCTTCCAAATGAGGTTCTTGTTCCTCATGTTGCTTGGCCTTTTCAGCTTGAAGCATGGAAATAAGGATGGACTGGTATTCGTCTGGAAGGTCGGAGATGTCTACCTCCGGGTTCCTCGACCGCAAGTTGTAAATAACTTGTATTGCCCAATGAGCAGCCTTCCTCTCGAGCTCGAGGCTTTGTTGCTTCATCTGCTCGGTCAATGAAGTGACTCGCCCTTGAGACAGCTCGAGGTCTGCCTCCATCGCCCTCTTCTACTTCTTAGAGTTCTCCCACACTGAGCCCGATTCTCTTTCGCCGCCTTCGCGCGATTGGTGCTCATCTTCAGCTCCTTCTCTCTCTCTCTCGCTCAGCTTCTTGGTGAGTTTTGCCATTGTCTGTTAGAGCTCCTTGGTGTCTCCATCTCTCTTTTCAAGCTTGACCTTCTGAAAGTCTGTGGCTCGAAGTGTAGAATCTCTCTCTGCCAGGTACTGATCCACCTGGATGCGAGCCGCTTTAGCCTCTACATCCATGGCCGCGAGGTTCTGCTTCAGCTTGGCATTCTCCTCTTTCAGCTCATAGAGTCTGCCGGCAGAGTCCATATCGATCTTCTGTTAGGCCATGGTCAGGGCGAGTAGGGATCGCATGGGAAAAGAGACAAAAGTTAGTTTCTTTTTCTCAAAATCATAAAAAGCCAAGAAAGTTTTCAAAGTGAACATGCGGTTTTACTTGACTATGCAATTGGAACGGGTAGAAGACATGAACTCCTCAAAGGCCATGACAAGTTGGCATTCCAACAAGGTGTACATTATCGGCTACAAGTGCTCTATCAGTTGCCCTAGAGAATCCAGCATAAACGGGTTTGGTCTCGAGGGGGTAGGTACATCCTTAACCCGTTGCTTGCCTGCTCTCTTCTAGGCAGCTGTGGTCACTCCCACTCCCTTGTACAAGCTCCCGAGGGCCGCCGAAGTGCCAAGGCCACCCTTTGGGGGCACTCTTGAGTAAGTGACGAGGTAGGGCTGAGTTCTCTCCAACAGTATCCCAAAGCCATTTGGCTCCAACTCCGTTTCCTCCTCGGTGGTCAGTTGTTTCCTTTTCTTGGTCTTATGGCCCATGGTCTTCTGTTTTATGGCACGAGCAGCCACAGGCCGAGGAGCTTCTTTGCGTCGCTCCGTGGTTGGCCACCTTTTGGTGCCAATCCGTATCCCTCCTATTAGGATGGCATCGGGGGTCACTTCGGCTGGCTCAGTCAGGTTAACCTGGGGGAATACAAACCCCCTAGCCTTTTTTGGTGGCTTTGAAACCCTTGGTCGCATGGTTGCTGCACGCCATGAAATTGTGTTAGCAAAAAAGTCATCTTTGGTACAAGGCTAAAAGTTCTTCTAGATACGAAGATACTTACAGGTTCGAGCAGTCTTGCGTTGTGACTCTGATCGGGTAAACGACCAAACGCCTATATATGGCTGAAATCTGCTAGAGCCAACAACCTGGTCGTCTTGTTCTCTGCGAAAAAGAAAAATTCCATTAGTCTTAACTACCAAAAGAGAGTTAAAGGAAAGGATAGTCAGTTTGGAAAATAAAAGGGAAAAACCTACTCGGCTCCCTAAATTTACAAACGCCGTCGTACTCAAAGAAGAAATATTTGGTGTCATAAGCCCCAACGTTGCTAGGGTAACCAAATATCCCTCCCTCGATCATAGATCGCTTTGAGAGGTAGAAGGAATCGTTGTCCTGGCTTTTCTTTAACTAGTAAGTGCATAATTTGCCGAATTCGTGTTCGTGGCATGCAATATACATAGCAATCGCTATCATATATGCATTGGGCGTCAGTTGGAATGGTGCGACCTTGAAGTGGTTGAGGATCGATCTGATAAAGAGGTGAAAAGGTATCGTCACCCTGCATTTGAAGATTGCTTTTGAGATCGTAGCCATTCCCTCTAGAGGGTCCTGAGCGGTGTTCGACCTATGTTGGTAGACGTTTACGTTGATTGCAAACTGGTCTACCGCCCTTTGAATCTCATCTGCAGTGGTTGCTGATACCATTGCCTGTGCGGGACCCGTCGAGGTGCTCAGGGGCTGCGAGCTTGTTCCTTCGGTTGCTCTCATCTCCGAAGTGTCCATTGCTCCTAAAGTCTGAAAAGGTGCAACACGTAGAGGTGACTCAGTCTCCGTACACAGTGTTTTGTACGACAACTTGAAATAGTAAGAAAAACCCTAATTTTCCTTCCTTAGCCCCTAAAAACACTAAACGTCCTTGAGAATGAGTTCCCAAGGATCTTTGCCCTAGGTTTTCTATTCTTAAGAGTGTTCATTTTTTAACACTACCCAAGAATGTGCATCATGTAAGTTTGCAGGCGTTTAAACGCACCATTGCTGTGAAAGAATCGAGTTTTTAATAGGAATGAAAAGAAGAAAGGGAAGAGTTTTCTTTACCTCTTGGTTGCTGGGGATGAACGTTCTATCGTAATAGCGAGTGCAAAAACTCTGTTTTTCTCTTTGAAGATTTAAGTTCTGTAAAAATCCTAAAGCGGGCTTAGGGCTTAGGGCTTTATAGGGAAGGAGGTGGCGTTTAGTTTCCATTGCAAGCGACGTTTGGGCGGGACGCGTTCCTAGCCGTTGAATGCGATCACGTGTTGCCAATCCTCGTTATGAGTAACCTTCACGCTTCGTGAAAATCAATCGATGTTTCCCTCTGTTGAAGACACCAAACGTCAGCGTAGTTATCTCCACTACATTAAATGCGCCCTTATCTGCATTTAATGCTTTAAAAGAGAATGTCGTTTCAACATGACTTGCATTTAATGCTCATGGCTGACACTTATTGCGCAAAGACACGTCTGTCAGATAAATCTTACTTTATTGACCAGGCCAGCTGTCAAGCGCAACGGATAACATCTGAAGAGGTCGTTTGAATGAAACACTCTTCTCCGTGTATTGAGCTCAAAGCGAAGTGACTTCCGATTTTTGATGAAAATATTCTAAATGTTTTCAGGACGTGAGCAATGGGCAAAGTTCGAAGCATGTAGGTATAGCATTGAGCAGGATCCGACCCAGGTCGTTGAACCTTTAGGGGACGATCACCTCAGGTCGCTTGTGCAATTTGCAAAGCCCCACATCGTGACCTCCACTCAGTTCACTGGTCGAGTAAAATCGTGAACTTCGTGTTATTTCAACCATTCTCCAATTGCAGTTTGAGCAAGCGATCCTCAGGATGAGTCAAATCATGGCATAATCATGAAGTTTTCAAAGTTCAAGCCTTGAACCTTAAGAACTGGGGGGCTTCTATTATGCCTAAAAAATCAGGGCTGACGTAGGCTTACGTCAGCGAGGATCAATCAGAGTTCAGGAAGGCATTGTGCCGCCCAGGCGCTGCCACGACGTCTAAGGACATAAGGAGTAAGGTTGTCATCAACTTGGCAGGTAAAGGCCTGGCTAGTGAGTGGTTTGGAGTCACCCACCTGCCCAAGCCCTACACGATTTAAGGATATCTTTTGTGCAACTAGCCAATGGGAAACAGGGTAAGAAATGTATGGCACTTGCCCGTTGGCAGACTCGTAATCATTTCCCAGAACCCTCTTACTATAAATAGAGAGCTCCCCTCTCATTTTTCAGGATTCTGATTCTGATAACATAAACACTCACTCTCCTTCTCTGTATTTCTATTTCTCTTATCGCTACTTGTGACTTGATTGTAATCTTTCATTTATAAAAAAGACAGCGCACACAGAATTCGCTTTGAGCATCCAAACCACTTTAAAAATCGTCTCCCTTTTATTCATTTCTTTTTCCATTCACGTGTAATTTCTAAGTCAACTTAGCACTTTGTACGTGCGAATAGTTGGTGTCAAAATCCAGCATCAACAAACTGTATAATTTAATTTAATTTATTAATTTATTGTATGAAATTAATTAATGAATATTACTATTTGTATAATCAAATAAAAACTGACAAAGGCCATTATAGTCTTTATATGATAAAGTAATGAGTTTCATTGACTTTTTAGGTGCAATTGTTACTTTTTGAAACGCTTGGGTTTCTCGTTACCTCCCTAAACATTGAGGAGGATTAGTGAAGCCCAAAATAAATCCATCCATCCTTTGTAATTTCCGCTGCCCTGCAAGACCCACCACTCTCTTTCGCACTTCCCGCACATTTCACATCCTCTGTGATCTCTCTCTGAAACACGAACGCAGTTCACAATGGAGAGCTTTGCCCTCCACTCTCTCTCAACCACCACTTCCTCCTTCTCTCTTACCTCTCGCTCCTCCCTTTTCCACCATCCATCTCCCAAACCCATCTTCAAATCCCCACCCTCCATTTCCCCGTCTCCCGCCCTCCGATCACTCTCCATTCCCCTTCTCTTCACTTCCCTCTCCAAATCCCACAACCGCAATTCTTTATCACACTTCACGCTCCACTCCTCTCAAAATGACACGTCGTCTACTCTCCCCGCAACTCAAACGACACCCCCATCTCCGCCACAAGGAGCAAAGATCCTCCCTTTAATTATCTCAATTTCAATCGGTCTCATTGTTCGTTTTGTAATCCCCAAGCCGGTTGAAGTCAGCCCACAGGGCTGGCAACTCCTCTCAATCTTTGTCTCCACAATCGCGGGCCTTGTTTTGAGCCCGTTACCGGTAGGTGCGTGGGCGTTTCTGGGATTAACGACGTCGATAGTGACCAAAACGCTGACGTTTTCGACGGCATTCAGTGCTTTCACCAATGAGGTTATATGGTTGATCGTGATTTCGTTCTTTTTCGCACGTGGGTTTGTGAAGACGGGGTTGGGGGATAGAATAGCGACGTATTTTGTGAAGTGGTTGGGGAAGAGTACATTGGGATTGTCGTATGGACTGACTTTTAGTGAGGCGCTTATTGCTCCGGCTATGCCCAGTACAACAGCGAGAGCTGGGGGTGTTTTCTTGCCCATTATTAAGTCATTGTCGTTGTCAGCTGGAAGTAAGCCCGGGGATTCCTCTTCAAGGAAGCTCGGCTCCTATCTTGTTCAGTCTCAGTTTCAGGTTAGTGCTTGTTAATTTTTAATTTAATTTAATTCTTGTGGGTTTTATCGAAATTTGTGATTTAGATAAAATAAAGATGGTAACGTTTAGTAAAACTCTAAAGATTGTTGTGTTACAATTGATTACTTTTTAATTATTTGGTGTGGAAAATGCAACTACTTGTGCTACTAAAACCATCCCAGTAATGGTGGTGGGATGCAAAACCCTCGTAATCTGTTTTATTATGGGTTAGTGTTGCTGTATTATGTGTAAGTGTTGTTTGGTGGATTGGTATTATTTATTATCTGTTCCTTTATTGTTATGCCATTCGAACTTTTTCTTTCGTTCAATTGGAGGGGCCATGTGTTTGGGGTTGTTGATGTTTAATCTGATGTTGGCTTGGATCTGTGAACAAATTGTCTGTGTTTTTCAGGGAAGAAAAATGTTTAGTGAGTAGATTTCTTTGTTTGATTATAATTTGACTAAAGTATTAAGTAAAATATAAGAAGTACTTTGTTTCAAAAGCTTGAACAACTTCTGGTACTTTTTTTCCCCACATGTTATGGATAATAATTATATTTTCATGATTTTAGATGTAGATGCTGCTTGTCTCTGGCATCAGGCTTTTCTTCTTAGGTTAGGCAGCATATTCAAACGATCTGTTTTGGCATATTTATGAGGAGAATAACGGCTCCAATTTTTTTTTTTTTTTAAATTTTTGGTCTTAATAATCAATTTTACTTTCAATCTTTTAGATTGATAGTGAAAAATAGGCCCATGAATTGATTTCTTTGTTGTTTCTAATTTAGTCAGTGTGTGAATATCTGTCAATTTCCTTACTCTGCTAACATCTTCATTATCTTGTATAGCTGAATGATTCTGTGTGATATAAAACAGTCTGCTGGAAACTCTAGTGCTCTATTCCTGACTGCTGCTGCTCAAAATTTGCTGTGCCTCAAATTGGCTGAGGAAATTGGAGTGATAATTTCAAGTCCTTGGGTGTTTTGGTTTAAGGCTGCTAGTTTACCTGCTATTGTTTGTCTTTTAGCCACTCCACTTGTCTTATACAACCTCTATCCTCCTGAAATCAAAGACACACCAGAGGCCCCTGCTATAGCTGCAAAGAAGCTGGAAAGTATGGGCCCTGTCACAAGAAATGAATGGATCATGGTGGGGACAATGCTTCTTGCAGTTTCTTTGTGGGTCGGTGGGTAAGTATTTTGTCTTAAAATCTCATGAATTACTAAAAATGTTCTTAATACATAACAGTTAGAATCTCCAATATGCTACATATATGATATAACTGGAAAATTGATGAGCATCAACCAGTAAGAAAATTTAAGTAGAGTTTAATTTTTCTCACACTTTTTCTTATGCTTGCGATAGCCATTGATTTGTTAGCAATTGAATTTGAGGATGGACCACTGTGATGTTTGTGTTGAACTTCTTTTATGTGGATATTAAAGACTGAATGTGCACTACAAAGTACAATGTGATGCAAGTTGTATGCTGTGGTCTGTTTCTTCATATTTTTCCATTTACAGCAGCTGATATATTTTCCATTTTGCATTCATCCATGCTGAAAGTATTTCTGCTAACTACAAAACGGTTATGATTTAAATAGGTTGAACCTAATTTTTGATTGCTCCCTGTTTTTCTTCTTGTCCTTTAGAAATTCTAATATACAACAAGAAGGCTAATAGTTGCTTCCAACTGAAGTTTTAATAGTTAAATGGGTCATGTATGCTATATATTAATATTAATTCTGACAAATTCCTGTATATGAGTTCTATCATGTTAGAGGAAGCAATTAGGTTTTGGGTTAGATGAACTAAGAAATGTTAATTTTTGTGGTTTTCATCCTAAGTTTGATTCGGAAGTATATAACAAGTAAATCTAGAATAGGAATATGTTACAACACAAGGCAAATTTACCTAGACCCTTGAGGTTTGGGCTAATATTATCAAAACCTTTGTGGTTTTAAAAATATCAATGTCTCTCCTGCCGTTAAGTTATAATTGTTTTAACTATTACCTTGTTTTGACTGATGAAATTCCAAGAATATTTCTTACTTTGGGAACTTGGTTGAATAAAATATCCCATTAATATGTACTGGAGTAGCGAGTATTCTAGGATTTTTTTTTGTTAAATCAAGTCAATGGTTAGAACAAACTGAGCTATTCCTATTGCTGGGTTCTTGCTGATGTTTTTGAAATTATATGGAGTCTTTTTGATACAAAACCAAACCGCAGGGTTTCACTTTGCTGAGTCTGAATCTTGTGCAATTGGTTGGTCAAAGGTTGTGCAATGGCTTTAAAATAAGATGAGTGCTAGCAACAGTCACAGGTGCAATAGTTGTCAGCCTCCTCGCGACACGTGTCCAAGACAAATACAATATATAATTTCTTTTATTCAAAATGGACACGTGTCGTGGGGAAGCTAGTGGCTGTCGCTATCACTCCTCTTAAAATAATTAATTGAAAACAACAGCAGATTTTGAGGTGATCTAGTAAGAAATTCTCAATGTTTGATCCATTTTATCTTTCCTGTCTTGTATGATCGAGAAGTATTCCATGTATCTAGTTTCTGTAGATTATAGGAGTTGTAGCTTTAGATTGTGTGTTCACCAATGTAGGACGTGATTTGAATAGAAGCATGTTACACGTGTCATTGAGTAAGTATGACCATTTGTGTTTCATAACTTTCTCTTATAATGTGCCTCAAAAATAACATTTTGTGAGGATTTAGATGCTTAACAAATTAGAATTCTTGTGTTTACTGTTATTAGAACATTCCGTAGGCTCTAGAATTGGCAGTGTTAAGTGTTAAAGCCCTTAAGCTGCATCATTTGAACCCTACAAATAGTTTGTACCCTTGCACTGGATTAATGGTTTTGGTAATCTGGTAGTTGCTATTTGTTCTGTAATATCTATACAAAAAGAAGATGCTTCTATTTTTTTTGTAAAAATAGAAATTCTATTATTTTTCTTCGCATAAACCAAGAAAAATGCACTAGTGTTACTTCCTGTGAACAATTTGGAGTTCCTGGATTTGCTTGTTTTCTTTATATAAAACAGTGTCCATATTAGATGTTCTTTTTGAATTTGTCTGATAGTCTTTTCTTGATTTAGTTATTTTTAAAGTTCTTTGGCTCTAAAAACTTGTATTTTGCAACTTATGTGGTTTAACTATCACTTCAAATGGATAATTTGCATCGTTACTTTGAATCAAACTTCCACTTGAAATTTATGATTGACCATTCTTGGAGGATACAATTTTCTGCTCAAATTGATTTTCTGAATTCTCTTAAGGTATACCACTGATTTGTGTCACATGTTATGCTTAATTTTGGCTGGATTATGTTCAATAACCTTCCCCCTCCCTCCCTCCCCAACTCCCTCTCCCCCCCTTCCCCTCTTCTTTTATTGATATTACCCTGAATCACCTTGATATTGACCATAAATTGCAAAAAATGAGTGTTGCTTAGCAACAGTCACGGGTGCCATAGTTGTGGGACTTGTAAGTCATTCCTCATTAACAGAGGATGGACAAGTTGATATCCTTGTGCAAACATTTATCACATTCATTCTGAAAAATAAATCAAATTTTGTTTTAGTTGGCAGCGATTGGCTTAAAGTTGCATGCTGCGACACCTGTAATTAGTTATTTTTACTGAATGTATTAACTCTGTTTTGTGACAAACTTATGTTGCTTGGTCTATATGTAGAGATGCTCTAGGTATACAAAGTGTTGTAGCTGCAATGATTGGTCTATCAATACTCCTTTTATTGGGAGTCCTTAATTGGGATGATTGCCTAAGTGAGAAATCAGCATGGGATACCTTGGCCTGGTTTGCTGTTTTGGTAGGTATGGCCAGCCAATTGACGAATCTCGGTGTAGTAACCTGGATGTCTGACTGCGTGGCCAAGTGTCTTCAGTCTTTCTCTTTGAGCTGGCCAACTGCATTTGGCGTACTTCAAGCATCTTACTTTTTAATCCACTACATGTTTGCAAGTCAAACTGGTCATGTGGGAGCATTATATTCTGCATTTCTCGCCATGCACTTGGCAGCAGGTGTGCCAGGTGTGTTAGCAGCACTGGCTTTGGCTTATAATACAAATCTTTTTGGTGCTTTAACGCATTATAGTAGTGGACAAGCTGCTGTGTACTATGGAGGTGAGTCTTTATTCCTCCACATTATGTTTATTTTTTGTTCACTCATTTTAGTTGCAAATTCTCTTTTCATAATGATTGGTTATAAATCTGAATCATTATGACTTCATTATGCTTGTTTGATACCAACTTGAGGGGTGTATTCTTTTTCCTTTGTTGTTTGGTTGGGCGGAGTGGATTTTAATTATTGCTTCCATTTGGTTGATGCTCTGGAGAAAAAAGACAACAATTTCAGAATCTTTTTGATAATGTAGATTTGTAGTTGGATGATTTTTTTTTTTTTTTTCATCATGATGTTAGTGTGTTTTGCAGACTGAAATAGTTCACTTGCTTTCATGTAACAGCTGGTTACGTAGATCTTCCTGACGTATTCAAGATGGGTTTCGTTATGGCTGTCATCAATGCTCTCATCTGGGGAGTAGTTGGAACTTGCTGGTGGAAATTTTTGGGACTCTATTAATTCTGAACTACTTGTAAGTAATCAATCATTGTCCCCATTATATCTTGTATTTCAGGGAAAACTTGAGCTCTTTATTTATTTTTTTTTTGAAGAAATTTTTTGTTAACATCATACTGTGAAAGAGAGATTTTTTTTTCTTCTTTTTCCTGGAAACCAAAATTTGAAATGGATAGTGTTGTCACTTAAATGTTGCATGAAATCTTTTATTTCGGGGCGCTGTTAAGTTGTGTCTATTGTTCACATCAACAGAAACAAAAGAAACGTGTGGCTGAAGTTGTTTTCTACAGTTGAAGCATGCTTCCAGGACATGCTAAATTGCAAGCTTTGTATCTGGCATTAGTATATTTGGTGAATAAGTTTTGGTTATGGCTTTGAAGAAACGGCTTTGCAGGAATTTTACTAAAACCATCTGAGGTCATTTGACATTGAAGAATAAAGGACTAGGATCAGTTGAGCATATAATTCAATCATTAATAGACTCAAGTTGTAGAGCTTATAATTCTTACTGTTCTCAAGGGACAAGGGTAATGTGTTTGACAGCCCTAGTGTCATGGGCCGAGACATCACCATTTCTATCGCAACATTCTCTTCTACTTTAGAGTTTAGATCCCACACAATCACAGGCGTCTAAGACTGACTCATTTGTATCCTATTTGGATCGCAACAATCTCCTTTACGTTTAACACCACACAATCATAAGCTTGAGTGACATACATACATAATTTTTGTTTCCCATAATCTAGGCCAAAGCACTCTTCTCCACCCACATATTAATTAACCCATCAATCAAGTTTCACCCAAATGAATTTGGACATGTCGTTCTAAACTTCAGCTATCCAAACAAGAAACATTACGTCATTCTCTACTCTCTAAACGTTCCCAGACCCAGAGATTAGTCATTTGGACAAAGAGTAACACAGCAAATTAAATTCAAAATTGGACAGCAAGATCGTATCTGATGCCGACTGGAGCACCACGGCTAGAAAACAAAATCGGAGCTGCTGCGAAGATGAAAAGTAGTTGATCAAGATGAAAGCAAGCTTCCGGCTGTCGAGAAATTGACAAAGAAGCTTGAAATCACACAATGAGAGAGTGAAGTCAGGGTTCAATCTTCAATGTCGATGGAAAGAAAAAATAGGGGAAATTTTGGTTTAAGCCAGTTGATGAAGATTAAACCAAGTTGCTGACAGACTCTGATGAAGATGAAAGCAAGAAATCGACAAGAAATCGCAAATGAGAGACAGAGAGAGTGAAGGGAAATCGCAAATCGCAGATGGGAAGAGGGAAAACAAAGGGAAAAAAATCGGTTAAAGGGGGGTTAAGGTTTCACATGCTTTATCCTAAAAACCGGTTGGATGGGCAGGTCACTACAATAACACCCAATGTTTTAAAACTCGGCCCGACCCAGCTGATTGAACCGGTTCAACCGGGACCCAGCTAGTGAGTCGGGCCGGGTGAGGCTAATAACCAATAATATAAGGCTGACTAGTTACACCCGCGATTGCACCGGTGTACTGTAGTACCCGTCGATCCAATTGTTATTTAAAAAAAAAAAAAAAAACCGAGTCCCATATAAAAATTAAAATAAACCCTATATCCCTTAAACCCCCAAATATCAACGATTCCCCCCATTTTTACGCCATTTCCCTCACTTTTATTCGGAAAATCTTGAATCTTCCATCGGAGTCTCCCTTTCACCGTCGATTTCGTCTCTTCAGTCTTCACCATGAACTACTCTGTTCGTCGTCAGCAAGGGTATCGAGACTCTCCTCCCATTTCACGATCTCCTCTGTTGTCTCTTCACTCTTCACTGCCGATCTGCTCTGTTCATTGTCGATCTTAGAGCTACACCATCGATCTCCTCTTCGTCTTGCCCAGGAACTGTCGCCTCTTCCTCATTTGCTCGATCTCATCTCTTCACAGTTCATAGTCGAGCTCCACCTCTTCGACAGTCAATGGCAGCTCATCTTCACCAGGTAAATGTCGCCTCTTCCTCCCATTTGTTCTCTATCTTTTCTTCAAGATTTTGTTGTCTCCACATTTCATAGAGCACTACTTTGAGCCTTTGATTGCTACTTTGTTATGTCATGATCTGTTGTTAAATACTTAAATTAATCTAAAGTCTAAACTATCATTAAATTTTGCATTCTATAAGTTGTTTATACCTTATTTGTGGACGGCTGGCTGCTTTTCTTGGTCTTGGTTGCAGTCATCTGATTTGGGCAGTAAAGGTAGTAAAGACTAAAGAGTTGGAGCTTCATAATGTAGGATCAGGGTAGTTTCTGAATGAATTTTTTGTTTCAAATTTATGGTGCAAATCATAGTGATTTCTTTGGTATTAGTACATGATCCCTTGGTTGATTGAGATTAATTGCCACAATGATGTTGTGGCTTTATGTGTGCATCTTGAAGTATTTAAATTTCTTATGTTTACACAATCTACACACATACCATGCAAGAATTAATCAAACATATTGAATCTTTAATTTAATTTATGAAGATATTTTTGATTATGATCGATACTAACTTATTTGTTATTTGTGTCGCCAGGGTAGAGATCAAGATTAAAGACAAAGAATATGTCATCATTTGGGTTTTTCCAACAATCTGTTTCCATGGATGATTCACAATCTTTTCGAGGAAAGAATGATATAGCATGGGGACATGTTAATGAGGGCGTAGATGAAAATAGGAAGAAGATATTAACATGTCTTTACTGTGGCAAGATAATCAAAAGTGGAGGAATTTATCGAGTGAAACTGCATCTAGCGAGTATAAAGGGAGAAGTTGGAAAGTGCTCTAAAGTTACTTTCGATGTTAAGTTCAAGATTGAAGAAGCACTAAATGAAATTGGGGCCAAGAATAAACAAAAAGTTGAATTTCGTAAGAATTTCAATCCTTATGGAGCTAGGGTACAACAATTTGAGGGTGATATGTTAGATGAAGATCAAGAGTGTGAAGAGGTTTCTCCATGTCCAGCTCCAACTTCAACTTCAAGCACTAAGAGAAGAAGATCTATTGGGATAGGTGACTATTTTGCTCCAAGGACTAAGCCTGGGTCTCAACCCTCAATTAAGATTGTTTTAGCCGGAAAAGAAGCTAAGTGGAGAGCGGACATGGTTGTTGCAAGGTTATTTTATGATTCTTGCATCCCGATTAATGTTATTAATTCAATTTATTTTCAACCTATGGTGGATGCTATAACTGCAATTGGTCTTGGGTATAAAATCCCAACTTATCATAATTTGCATGTAAATTTATTGAGAGATGCTAGGAAAGAAATGCAATTACTTGTTGATGGTTATAAGAAAACTTGGGAGGATGTTGGATGTACTTTAATAACTGATGGTTGGACAAATAATTCACATAGGTCACTGATTAATTTTCTAGTATACTGTCCTAAAGGAGTGTGTTTTGTGAAATTAGTGGATGCTTCAGATGTTGTAAAGGATGCTGCAACATTGTTTAGCTTGTTTGAGGAAGTAGCTTTATGGGTTGGACCAAACAATATTGTCCATCTTGTCACTGACAATGGAGCAAATTATAAAGCTGCTGACAGAATGTTGTCTGAAAAATATAGCAGTATTACTTAGTCTCCCTATGCATCACATTGCATTAATTTGATGCTGAAAGACATAGCTAAGATGAGTCACATAGTTAACCTTTCGAGACGTGTATCTGAGGTTACAAAGTTTGTGTATAATCATTCCTTTGTGCTAGCTTTGCTGAGGAAAAAACAGATTATATTCATTTACCTCATATGTTTATAATTTACATTGTCAAGTCATGTTATATAGATATAAATTTTTTAATAATTTACTAAGTACTAACATCTATTGTCTATCACTTGAATAGGGTTGGAAAAAAATTATACGCCTAGGTGCAACCCATTTTGCCATAACTTTCATTGCATTGAGCAACCTACATCAGCACAAACATGACTTATAATCTATAGTGACAGATAGAGCTTTTGTGGAGTCTTGATCTGCAAAAACTAATAAAGGCAAAGCCTTTATTTCCATAGTTTTAGATAACCGATTATGGGATGACATTGGTATAATTTTTAAAGTTGTGAGTTCATTAATGCGTATGCTCCGAATTGTAGACTCAGATGAGAGGCCTTCAATGGGATATATGTATGATAGCATGTACAAAACGAGGATGGGGATCAAGAAGCTATTTAAGAATAAGAAAAATTTGTACAAGCCTCATACAACAATTATTAAGATGCTTTGGGATAGGATGTTGCTCCGTGATATTCATGCAACAACATATTATTTAAATCCTGCTTTTAAATACGACGAAGATACTTTTTCCAAAAAACCAGAGGTCATGTATGGTTTCCTGGACACTATTGATAGTAAAGCAAGTGCATTCAAAATGAGCAAGACAACGTTATTAGAGGAGAGCAGATTATATCAAGACAGTACAGAAAGTTTTTCTCATGAGCTTGCTCTTCGAACTTGCAAAACTACAAGGCCGAGTAGGTAATAGTTATTAACTTTTTAAGTCTAATTTTTAAGTTATGAAATTGTGTATATTTCTTATGTAATTTATACTTTTATTCTCAATTAGATGAATGGTGAAGGACATTTGGGTTTAATGCTCCAAATTTGCAAAAGTTTGCAATCAAAGTCAAACTTCGACCTCTTCTGGATGTGAGCGAAATTGGAGTGTTTTTGAACGCATACATACTAAAAAGAGAAATAGATTGGAGCATCCACAGTTGAATGATTTGGTTTTCACTCATTATAACTTGCATTTACAAAATATGTATAAAGCCTTCGTCATTTTGTTATTAATTATTATCTCTTCTTTTATTTTCATTGATGTCTTTATTGGTCATGATTTGAACATTTAATTCTGCTATTTCAGGAGTTGTTACAAGAAAATTAATTATAATCTCGTTGATTTTGAGGGTACTGATAAAACTGAATGGTAGATAGTTGATGAGGAAAAGGAGGTTGGTAAACTTAATTATGATAAACTGGAACAATCATTATATGGAGAAGGAGCTATTCTTATAAATGGTGGTGCCCTTCTTATTATGACCTCTGTTTTAAAAACCGGATCGGATCGGATCGGACCGGACCGGCCGATCCAACCGGTTGGACCGTGACCCGGGGCCTTCTCCGAGTCGGCTCACTCTTTTTAACTATTTGAAGTTTAAAATATAACAAACACACCCTTGATTATTACCATCAGTCCCTGAAGGTTTCAAATCTAGCAAACACATCCGCTGGCCAAATGCAAATCAGCAATGACCTCCCTTTTTCCGGCGACCTTCCACCTTCCCTTACTGTCGAAAACCACCTTCTGAGTTCTGACTTTCTCCGGCGCTGTCACGCTTCATCTCCAGCCGCCGCGTGACGTTTCGTTGTCCACCTTCGCCGCGAGATTTTTCTTCCATTTCTCGGCGTCGATCGGCCTTCTCCGGCATCGACAGGCTTCCTTAGCCACCGATCAACTTTCTCCCAAGCTCCCTTGCCGTCGTTCACGAAGATCCAATCATCTCACCAAAAAAAGCAACTACGACCAGTGACTTTACCACCGATTTTCCATTTTCCGGCGATGCCTCTACTTGCTAGCTATCGATTCACCCTCTCCATCATCAGATATACCCTCCCTGGTGTGTTGCCGCTGCTCTCCCAATCGATCATTGATTTGCACTTGGCTAGGGTTGTGTTTGCTAGATTTCAAACCTTTAGGGTCTGATGGTAATTATTAGGGGTGTTTTTGTTAGATTATAAACCTGTCAAACCATCGGTTCAACCAGCGGTCCAACCGGTTGGACAGGTTAAACCGTGACCCGGCCATCAGAGCGGTTTGCCCTCCGGTCCGGTTTTTAAAACAATGATTATGACTCAACAGATGCTTCAGAAGGTTGTTTCCAATTTTTTAAGCAATTTCAATTTGGTAATAGCTAGTTTATATTCAATTAGTTTAAATGGGATGATTTAACTTATGATTTTCCTTTTTTGCTATAATTTTTTGTAGATGATATTGCCAATGTTAATAATGATGACGATCATTTGTCCAATGGTGTGTGAACTGTGAATTTTAATTGAGGATGGAATCGAGGATGGAATGATGGATTGAAGACCATTGGGTGAAGATCATTTTTTGCTAGAATGTTAAACAACTATTATGTGATTCCTTCCTTCATTTTGTTATTTTTATTTGTAATTTGTTGTATTATTAATGTAATGATGTTTGATGATGCTTTGCTAAAGACTTTTTATTCAGGAGTTTATGATTTGGATCCTGATTTGAGAATTTTAGAATTTTGCATGCTATAAACAGTAACTTTGCTAACATCAACATGATGACATCACTGATTGAACCAACTGGTTCAATCAGTTAAACCGGTCGGCCCAAGACTCGACCAACTTGTCGGGTTTTATCCTAGGTCGATTTTTAAAACATTGGTAACGCTGATCCAAATTCGGGTGAAACTGATCCTTCAGTTTCTTGCCTAGCCTAGCTCGACTCAATGACCAGTTCCCAATCAGACCGGTTAAACTAGTCGGGTCAAGTCGAGTTTTAAAACCTTGGTTTTGACACCCAGTTTGACCAACTGGTCAAATCGATTACATTGTTTTAAAACCCAGACCAGAGGCCAACTCGTTTTGCTGCCCGGGTCACAGGTCAACCGGTTCAACCAATTGGACCGATGATGTCAGCGACAATTTTATTTTTAAAAAATACATATTAATCCCTTAAATTTAATATATTACAAAAATTCCCCTAAAAAAGTTCAAATTAGTCCTTAAAATTTTTATTTATTTCAAAAATACCCCAAAAAATTAACAATTAATCCCTAAACTTTTGACATATCTCCAAAACACCCTTATAAAATCACAATTAACCCTTATAATTTTAAAATATTACAAAAACTCCCCTAAAACCTAAACCGAACTGAATAAGTTGCTGAGTCCCGATCCGACCGGTTTTTAAAACAGAGACCAATTAAACTGATCAACTGGGACTCGGTAACTTTGTTGAGTTTCACCCTAGATTGGTTATTAAAACATTGAATTTGAAGCTTTACAATTGGTTAGACAAATCAAAGTCTTGTTTGCAAACAGAGATCACTACTCTTTAGCCCACATCAGCAAACTAGCAAATAGCAATCCGATTAAATGATTGGAATCTACGAGAAGGTCAAGAGACTCAAGAAAGTCCTGCATCAGTTGATTACAACCTCCATAATCTTTTGTTGAAAGCTTAATAAACCGAGAAGCTTTTTAGCGAAAAACAGTAATCTATAAATTGCCTATAAAACGTTGGAGAGGAAGATTAGGAGAAAAGAAGAAAGAAATCCGAGGCAAAACCACAGGACAGTTGATTGCACCACTAATTACTTCAATGAAACAGTCATCCAATCCCATGCACTTATTATAGGAAAGAAACAGAAGTACCAATTGAAATAAACTTACTAGAACAACAAAATGTTTTTTATACATTACTTAACATCGTAGGGCTACTGTGGATACAACTTTGCCAACCATAATGTTCTCATCTCCATACAATTTCATCGTCACAATTCTTCCATATCGGTAATGTCAGTAAATTCTTCAATTGATCTCAGCTTTTCAAGAATTATCCTTTCTTGCTTGGCATCTATGGTATTTTGAGTCAAGTATTCAAGAATCATTTATGTAACAGGAAGAGAGATTTAATTATGCACACTTCAAAGTATTATACGAAGCAGAAATGAAATATTGAGTCAAATGGGAACAAAAACATTTGGTTCAGTAACAATACTTAAACAATGTATCATCGATACAACCTACGAGGATCAGTAACTAGTTCTGGGGCATGAATCTAATGAAGCAGAGTTTTGAACAAACAATCGCGTGCCATTAAAAAGATACAAGTCACTGGTATTAAGCTGGTCTTATTCAACAGATATGAACTAACTTCATGCTAAATCGCATTGGGTACACCCCAACCAAACATATGTTGTCTTACAACGTATGAACAACATTATTGTGCAATATGCAGACATTCAGATGTGAAAAATAATAGGAAGGATGAACTTGGATCCTATCCTAACTTGGGTTCTTTGATGTTTTGAGCTCCGGGGCACATAATTAATATTTATCAGTGTGTAGCCCTATGTGTCCCCTTATAATATTAAGTTTTTATTAACTACCTAGATAAGTTTAATCTATACTGGAGTAAAATATAAGAAGATGATAAAATCTATCCAACAAGGATACATTCCTGATCGGGGTTTTCTGTGAAATTAGAGTGTAAGGCGTTCCCTACACTGTCCACAATAGCTGAGGTAGTCATCGAAGATTCAATGCATAAAATTGCAGTTATGGCATCTAATTGAGTAACCTCATTTCTGAACATAAGCCTTGCATGAGCTGCAACATTGAGAGAATAACAATTCCAATTGGAAGAAATGGAGTCCACAATAGATGAAGGAGCAAAACAGAGGGTAACATACCTTGGGCCAGGCGTATCAAACTTTCCAGCATTCGCACAGTTGTCCTAGCTGTATTGTTGGAAATATGATCAAAGAAAATACAAAAATGATATATTGATAATTGTGTCATTTAGCGAAAGGGATTTACTGAAGAACCTGCATTTTGAGTTGCAGATCTTCTTTGAAGTTGGTAATAGCTTGAAATAACTTTTTCAGCTTCCTTCATAAGGATTGGTTTGAAGTATCCTTTTACGAAGTGAATGTACCTGCAAAAAATTGCAGAGGCTTAAGATGCTAGCCATCTCTGAAAGAGTTATTACAGCTTCAAAGTAATCACATGTTCAAGGATGACATCTATAAGCCAAGCGGCAGAAAACAAAGTTTACAAATTTACACATTATTAATAATCAAATATGCACCTATCCTACCTTAGCCAAAATAAGAAAATAACCTTAGATTAATCCCAAAACAGTGAACCAATTCACTGAAAAACAAAAAGGATTGACACAAGGGTAAAGAAAAAGAGAGGAAAAGATTGATCAGAATATGCACATCTAACATAAATAGGAATTATGAAAGATAAACAATGATAGACAGGGGAAAAAAAAAAAAAAAAACTCTCCACATATCTGACTAAAAGATAAAGAGATAACAAAGAAAAGTTGTTATGTTCACAATTTAACATTGGTTGTCAATAAATTTCAACAGGAGAAAAGATAAGAAATTATCAAAGAGATAATGTGCCACAATTTATTATAGAAGACAGGAAAGTTGATAAGAGTTCATGAATTTTTCCTTTTTCCATCAAATGAGTTCAATTAAAGATTATATTTCACGAACTTCTATCAACTCTTGTCTTTAAGAGCGGACTCATGCATGAATGAGTTTAGGAGAAGTGTTAAGGTAAAAAAATATAATCGGCCACGGGAGAAGACTATATATAAATAATATAATGCCCTCTAGATTGATAGGTGCTACAACAGTTTCAGGTGCAAAAATAGTACAATGCTTAACATATATACACCGTGATACTCCAAACACATTATACAGCATATGTACATTATAGTCTCCCCATATCTATACCACTAAAATCTGAGTGCAAAGCACCATTTTTGCTGTCATATTCCAGTCATTAGCCACAGAAATTGAAAAACACCAAATGATATAAGTGAAATTAGTGAAAATGTAGTTTCATATATTTTAAAAGGTCTGATACTTAAGAGACCTCATGGATCTGCTCAGATTGGACAATAAATTACATGTCATTCTCTGTTAAAGGAATGACTTACCTGCGCAGCATTGAAAGTGGCCAGATATTTTCTATATTTTCATCATGATTTCCTTTACCTGGTTCTCCCTGCAATCAGTCACAAGCCAACCAATAATTGGATTTACTCTTCAGGTTAAACATACATAATATTAGGTGAATATTACCTCGGCAAGAATGTGAGATGATACAACTGCATCCCACTCAGGATTCTTCGTGTCAAGAAGGACAAGGACTATGTCAAATCTGCTCAATAAGGGACCAGAGAGTGTTGTATTGACAGAGAGCGCTAGACTGGGTTAAGAATGTTACAATCCATTAACATGTAAGAAATAAGTCAGATCTGCTCAATAATGGAACAAAGTACTGTATTCACAAAGAGAGTTAGACTCGGTTAAAAAGGCTACAATACAAATTATGTAAGAAATAAGTTAGCTGAAGGCTCATACAAGACTAAAACCTTGTAGTCCTCAAAAGTATTATGAGAAAGATAACAGGCACAACCAACAAATTATAATTTGAACCATTATGTCAAATATTCAGAATGAAATGGATACGTTGATCAGGATCATAATGCCCTTTAGGATTTGTTGCACCGAAGACAATGGTCCTAGTACTTAGAGTGGTCACAAGGCCAGCCTGGAAAACAGAAACACACAAATATTCAGTGGCCATGCTTAAACTTGGAGCCAAATTGATCATGATATAAACAAATTAATTTTATTCTCAAAGAATCTTAAATAAAGTGGAAAAAGTAATAAAACACATAAGATAAACAGTGAACTTTTGTCCAAGCTAATTAGGCAGAGAAATATTATAGATTATAATACATTGAAACATAACAAATACGCCAAAAAACAACACAATTATATTTTAATATAGAGGAGACTATCGCTATATGAAGATGCAACAGTCTTTTCTTATATATTCATCAAAAAGGGATATTAAAGAGCAAAAGTTGAATTAAATCCATAAAGTTCAGTTCCTTTTGTTAGAGCTTAATAAATACTATAGTGGGCCCATTATCCACCAGCCTAAACTTGGTTTTAGTGGTAAATTAACACCTTGGATGAATTTACACTAAACATGACATCAACATAAATTACGGTTATTCATGAAAAGCTTTTGTTCTGCTTTTTCTTCTTTCCTTCTTTTCAGTTTTCCTTTGCTTGCACATTTCAATCTTTTCTTATGTTTATGTATAATGTAGCAACAGATGACAACCAACCTACTCATTCTACATGGTACAAAGTATGGCATGACTGACATATTTAGATGACTTCAATCGATTATGTTAAATAGTTCAAATTGCCCAAAAATATATATTCCATACCAAACAAGGCTATGTAACAAAACAAAAGGACACCATTCAAAAAGCTGTATTCAGATGATACACTCTTTTTCCTTCTTTCTGGGTTGAAGAGCAGTGGTTCCGTGTCTAGTCATTTTCTCATATATGGTCCTGCTGTCTCTCAATGTAGGCTTGATGGTGAAATCGTGGAATGAAACCATCCATAGTTGCTAATAAAGTAGGAGCTAAAACATGACACATGCTTGACCTCCTGAGTGATGATTTTCCATGTAAAAATAAACAAAAGTGATTTTCCAAGCTTAAATGCCAACACGAGGTAGTAATATGTGATAAAAGGATGTTGATCACAAAGCCACATCAATTTTATAATTTTATTTGCAACCCATTATTGAAGAAACTAATCTACCTTGGCAACACTGATAGTCTGCTGCTCCATTGCCTCATGTATTGTCGCTCTGTCATGTTCCCTCATGCTGATTAAAGAAGGAACATAGAAAGACATGGTGATAAAGCCAAGGTTAGTTTCATTTCAAGCACTAAGAAACAAGACAACCAAGAGTGGCCTTGATCCCAGTTTAAAGCTTTGCAAATCTGGCATAACTCTAATGATTAAAATAACTGTGTCAAAAAATGAGTTTCAAGCTAAATCTCGTATCTCTATCGGTGAGAAGCATAAGCACACATCAAAGTTCAAAAAACTTTTATCCCAAGAAGGAATTAAGAAGTAAAACTTCCCCCAACTGGAAAACAATATGTATATCTGATATCAAAAGCAACAAAAAATATCAGAAGCAAAAGACTTCAGGTTACAACATCATTTTTTACGTGATTATTTACTCGACATGGAATTTTCACACTTCAAAATATAATAGTTACCACCAAAAAAAATATCCATGCACTTGACCTCCAAAAACTAATGCTTGCCAACCACAAGGCTTTCTTCGGATCATTCGCTTCCTAATTTCGAGTGACATATTAAAATACTATTAGATTGAACAAATTGGAACCCACAGCCACCTGAAAATCATACAGGAAAACCTTGATGAACCAAAGATGTCTATCAAGCTTCAAATGATTTGTACAGACTCACTGGTAACTAGCAAAAAAAAAAAAAAAACAAAAAATCTCCTCCCATGCATGCACAATTGCATATCCATAACCGTTGCTCATCATAAGCATAGTTGGGAAAACAATATAATCCTAAACAACAAGCTAAGACTTCAATCATTCCATTTTACTATGACTAGTTCAAAGTATATTTTTGCATAACAGTATTGAATAACCGCTGATCTGTATTGGGTGGTGAATTGGTCAATTAGAACCAACCATTTTAATATGGTGGGAACAATACCAGCGTGACTCCTTCAAAAGGACAGCCCAAAAAAAAAGGAGCAGTTTTAACTCAAAAGAATTGGAATTTCTGGTTTCTATGAACAATTGTTCATGTTAACTCAGAAGAATAATCTCCATGATTGATGCAAAATGAGAACACATTTTCATTAACTCTCCAAAACTGATTGTTCAACAAAATTCATCTCTGTTCCATAAGAAGTATGGAGTCATGACAATATAAAATAATTCACAGAAATGGTTTGAAATGAAATCCTTATCCATATACAGTGGTGAACATATTTATGTAAAATAATATCATTAAATAAGCAAAAGCACGATTTCCTGGCTTTTGAAAGAAAAGAAGAAGAAAGAAAGAAAGAAACTCTATTGTGTATACAGTCCAAATTATTTACCATTATTGGTTCAAAAATAAGGCAACAAAAAATTAGTTTGGAAGGTCCTGGATAAATACAGCATAAATAAAAGCTAATCAAGAGTTGTTTTATGCAGTCATTCAAAAGGGACTACCTATCAAATTCGTCAATGCAGCAAAGACCTCCATCAGCCAAAACTAGGGCTCCGGCTTCTAACATCCATTCTCCTAATGATTTCATAAAATGGTTAGATTCTCCACTTAGACAAAATAGATAATTTCCAAAATGTGTATAATCCAATTCAAGTAATAATCCTCAAATGAATAATATGAGATATTATACAAAGCTAAATGCCTAGAAGATATCTAATTGAGAAAGGAGCATCCAACACAATATTCCACACTAAATTAACTCAATTTCATTTTTTATTTTATTGTAAGCTTTATCAAAACAAAGGGAGAAGATGTAAGAAATACCAAAGACTAAAAAACGTTGAAGCTTGTAGAATTGAATTAAAAAATACAACTTGTTGATCGGTAAGAAGTGCATCATGCCTAAGTATTACGTTGTCACACATTTGGCCTTAGACTCATTTAAAGGATGAGTAGTAATGTAGGTTAACAGTCACAAAATGTCCTATCCCACATTGCTAGTAAATGAGAGCTTGAGTTATTTTCGGTACCCTAAACTAATTAAACATATTTCGAGTAAAGAACGTTTGTATGAAACCCAAAAGCAAATCTCTGAGGGTTAGGCTCAAAGTAAACAATATTAACTCAATTGGGCCAAGCTATAACAAGTAGTATAAGAGCAAAGCCCGTGACCTGATGGTGTGAATTGATGACATCATGACAACAAAAGGTCTATAAGGTGGGGAGTCTATCACCTCTTACATCACTAATGAATCAAATGTTAGATCAATTTAGGTCCTCTCAACTAATTAGACACGTTTCAGGTGAATAACGCTTGTGGAAGTCCACGAGCAAATCTATGTAGGCTAGGCCTAAAGTGGATTAAATCTATTCAATTGGGTTTGGGTATTACACATTAGGCCATAGTCATATCTTACAACATGAATAGTAAATACAATCCACTACTAGCAAAAAGTTACATCAAATACTAGTGCAATGAGAGTTGGTAATGGTCAACTAGGGCATTCCATAGAAGTCAAGCCTCATATTAACATATCTAAAGATAAATAACGTACATTCCCATAATTTAATAAGCAAATATGGTTAAAGATGGATGTCCAAGAGATTAAAAGTGAATAAGATTTTGAGGAAGATGAAAATAGGAAAAAGTACTGGACCAGATAGACTGTATTCTTTATGAGGTTCAGGAATGGCTAGGTGAAGTTTGGATAGTAGTGTTGACAATTTGTGCAAAAAGATTTTGAAAGATGAAAAGATGCCTTGTCAACCTAGGAAAAAGCACCTTATATTCTTGTCTATATGAAAAAACGTTATCCAAATTCATGTGGGAAAGTGTGATCAAGCATAAGTTAAAAAATGATAAAATAATATTATGAAACCAATTTGGTTTTAAGACAGGAAGTTCAACTATGGATTCTTTATTTCTACTTTGGATTTTGACTAAGAATAGAATGCACCTCAACGTGATTTCTGTCGATTTTGAGAAGACATAAGATAACACTTTAAAGAAAATTTTATGATTGGCGTTATAAAAATAAAGGCATTTCCATCATATACATTAACATGACCAAACACACGGGTGGTGAAACTTACTGGGAGAGCTAAGAACTGGATACCAGTGAGTACTCCATTAAAATTGGTTTATACCAAATTTCTGCTTTCAATCATCATCTCTTCAATTTTACTATATTAAATTCAGAAGACAAAAGGATTGTTCCCCCAAATGCATTATATGTAAACAATGTACTATTAATGGAAAAACTTGGAGGACGTAATCATGACAAAGACAACATCTGATACAGCCAGAAGTAGCATTTGTGCTAGATATTCTAGGAGCGTCAATTAAACCAATAATTTATCTTCTTCGCAGAAATAACACTGATATGTGAAAGAAGAACATGAAGATGAAATCGGTGAAGAACATGAAGATGAAATCGGTTGAGAACATTTTAGTAATATTCATGAGGTTCTAACATATTGATTAACCGTGAAGTGTTATAAAAAGTTACCTCCATCTTTTACAGCAGTAACAGTCAATCCAGCACTAGTGCTTCCCAACCCAGTAGTGATAACTGATCGGTTGCTTAACTTTGCTGCAAATTTCAGGAACTGAGACTTTCCAGTACCTATATTATATACATGTTGTCTTCAATACAATTATCCCAATTTAACAAGGATTATTCACACACACACACACACACATATACACTTTTAGAGGGAAAAATCATGGGCAATACAAGAAAAAGCTAGCAATACTTATTTTAGTGAGAATGATGTTTAGTATTTCCAATTTAGACATAAATCACACCAAACAATAACCAATTCTAGAAATCTCAAAGAAAGTTTTTGGATTGAATAAAAACATTAAATTGCACTAAATAGTGCAAAATCGATTCCTAGCTAGATTTTTGCAAGGTACTAATTATTTTAATGCAATTATGTATTGCACCATAAACGATGGTGGGTAATGGTTATTAGCTTAACTATTATAGCTGAGTCCTTACCTGATAACTTAAGTTTTTAAATCAAAAGGTAACTTAACATGGTGTTAGAGCCAAGTTGACCAATGGTCTAATGGTAAGTCCCCTGATCATATTAGTTATAAGTATAATAAGTTGTGTTTGTGATTATGATTGCATTTGTGGTTATGGTATGGTAAACATACAAGTTCACATAAAAAGGGCAATGTTAGACCTTAAAAGGGCAAAGTTCACATAAACGATGGTGGGTAATGGTTATTAGCTTAATTATTATAGTTGAGTCCTTAACTGATAACTTAAGTTTTTAAATCAAAAGGTAACTTAACATGGTGTTAGAGTCAAGTTGACCGAATGGTCTAATGGTAAATCCCCTGATCATATTAGTTATAAGTATAATAAGTTGTGTTTGTGATTATGATTGCATTTGTGGTTATGGTATGGTAAACATACAAGTTCACATAAAAAGGGCAATGTTAGACCTTAAAAGGGCAAAGTTCACATAAACGATGGTGGGTAATGGTTATTAGCTTAATTATTATAGTTGAGTCCTTAACTGATAACTTAAGTTTTTAAATCAAAAGGTAACTTAACATGGTGTTAGAGCCAAGTTGACCGAATGGTCTAATGGTAAATCCCCTGATCATATTAGTTATAAGTATAATAAGTTGTGTTTGTGATTATGATTGCATTTGTGGTTATGGTATGGTAAACATACAAGTTCACATAAAAAGGGCAATGTTAGACCTTAAATACTATTGCTAGGATCTTACCTATAAACTTAAGCTTTTATGTTAAGTGATAAACTTAATAAACATTTGTTCAATAGTAACTGAGAAACAATTCGTTTTTGCTACCAACTGTAGGTCCTTAGAATTGTTATAAAATTAAAGCCTATCATGATGTAGAATTTATTACTAGGTTAGGAAGTTGTACCTATATATGGGTGAGTACAAATTACCTGGATCACCAACAAGAAGCAAGTGAGACTCTCCCCGAACCTTTGTCCCAGAAGCATCAACATGTTGCACACCTCCAATTAGTGTTAATGCAACTATATAGAAGAAAAAAAAAAATTAAGTGGGCATACGAAGTTAGAGCAAAGAAAGATGCTAAAGTTAAAGAAAAAGAAGAAAAACATCATTTCAAATTTTGATGACATAAAATGACAAATTGACATCTACGGTTTCTAACTTTCTATCAAGACTTTTGAAAGCTTACACACACATATCTAGTAGTCTAATAGTTAATAGCAGGTATGAGTTTAGGGTTTCCATTATTGTTCTCAAAAAATAGAACAACTTTGAACAGATCATGAGAACCTTTATTAATCTAAAATTAGGCCATAATAAATCGTAAAAAGTATGTAAAAGATGCATGACAAGGGAAGAAAATGTACCTGCCAGCTTCACAGTGAAGAGTCCAAATATTTGTGGGCAAATGCCTCGCAGAAGAGCGTTTCTCCCTAGTGAAAATGAAGTACATTTTAAGTTTTACAAGAACAATAGATCCCTATGTAATACTTTACAGAGAGAAAGCATCTAAATTATCCTCTCAACAAAAGATCCATTAGATGGCTCATATAAGTCAATCTTTCTCAACAAGAAATCCACTAGACAACCCTCATAAATCATCTTAAGGTTTCTATTAATTTCACAATAGGAAAGTAATAATCAATAGTTATTACCTTTCAGTGGGGTATCTTTAAATTCTGTCCAGAACTGCTTGAATTGCTTGATAACATCATCGGGGATATCAATGTCTGATTTCAGCTCATGAGTTCTCCTAAAAATGAAATGCATGTAATTTAAGAAAAATAAAAAGGACTACAATTTAACGATGTAATTTAATTATAATCTCAGCTAGTCATATTGTAAAGCAGGTTCCGGTAGACACACGTTTTTTCTTGTGCCAGTCTAGGTACATGTTTACACAAAATGCAATGAAGATACATCAAGCCCATCATTGGATACATATCTATTGGGCATATCCATAACTCAGTCTTGAGTGACCATATCAAAATTAGAAAGAACAAAAAACAAACGCATCTAAAAGGTGTTATAGGTGGCAGCTGTTAGAAAAATGGCTCATTTAGCAAATCACATGGGGGTAGAAGTGATAATGGAAAAAGGTTTAAGGACTTATATGTAATAGGCCAAAAAGTTAGTTTGTCCCACATTGAAAATGAATGAAAAGTGGGAAACTTTTGGGGCCTATATATAAGGACCCAAATCATTGTTATTAGGCATCCCAAGATGTAATTTCATTATACTTCTTTTGTTTGGGGTTCTTTCTTTAAGGACCCTTTAGTTTGCAAGTTTTGTTGTATCTCCCCTTTGTTTTGGGTATTTATTGTATTGCCCAAAAGTTTGTAATATTGTTTGGAGATAGTGGAGTTTTCTTTTGCAGCGCCCGAGGATGTAGGTTTTAATACCGAACCTCGTTAATTCCTGGTATTCTTTATTTTTGCATTTAATTTTGGCAATTTATTTATGCTTTACTACTTGTTATTATTATATTCAATAAGCTAGCGTTAGAGTTTATGTTTCCGTTGCATAACAGCAGCAACTGGGTAAAATCAGATTGAAATAATATTTTTTGACATTCACCATAAAGGCCAAAGCATGCAACAATAAGAGTGACTTAATTGAAATTGGAGAACTCAAAATACAAGAGGGATAATCTAGCAAAAAAAGGTCAAGGCAGGGAGAAGACATAATTGCGAGGATTTAATAAGTAATGGCCCTATATTAAGCTGATTTGCAAGAAATGTCATAATCATAAAATCAGGTCATTGGGATTTAGGGCTTCCATGAGTTCAACTTGGCTAGATCATCTATTCGTTTATATTATAAAGTTTTGATAAAGGTTTGAAATATACTTTTTGGATGTAAATTCTCTTTAAATTAACTTTGATATGATATCATCAACATCATATATACAGATATTTTAAATTGGAATACCTTGTTTGTATTAGGAAAACTTATTCTGAAATTTCCCAGTCAAAATTATCAAGTACTTTTAAAAATGTACCCATTAAGAAAACTGAACGTTTTACCTCACATGATTAGCGATTAATACAGGATCCAGGTCACAGCGTACATCTTTTAAATCGGGAGACCACTTTGCTGTCAAAGTGCCAGTCACAATGATATCATCTGCACCCCATCCATCATCAAAGAAGGTACAAATTAATACAAAGCAAGTATTAAGTTTAAAGAAGCACCTCCAAGATAGAAATTCTATGCTTGCTGTTTAAGAATCTTTTTTCTAGAAACAAAACAAAAATTTAAAAGAAAAAAAAAAAAAGAAATGGAATAAGCAAGCAGGGACAAACAATGTAAAATATGAACCTAATGCTCTAAGGAGCATTTGGTCCAAGCAGCTGATAGCCTTAGCATCTTTGACAGTATCCAAATCCAGATTTAATTCAAATGCAAATACTGGGTATATACTATGGCATAGTTTCACATGGATATCTCCAAAATCCCAGTTCCTATAGTAATTTGGTAGTGATTGTCTGCTCTGAATTTTATGATGGTGACAAAATAGTGATACTACTACCAAGTCATGCCTGCAGTGTGGTTGATGGCGCTGGAGCATGCTGGTAGAAGCAATATCATTGACAGGGAAATGGTGGCAAGGGGTGATTATAACATGGTAAAACACATAGCCTTCATATTGATATGCTGCTAATCATCACAATAACGTATGTCCTCTAATCCTTAAAAATTTACATATGACCAGCCATTTTGATCATAGAAGCCTTTCATTGCCATTCCATAAGCATAAGTTGGCAATATCATGTAAGCCAATTAATATTTATCTTATCAAAAAATGATTATCCCGTTTAATGTCAAATTCCACTTGCAATCAAATTAGGGAATTCTCAATGTACATTACATCAGCAGCATTCCCTTTTAATCAACTCAGAGAAAAGGTGGAATATAAACACTAAAGGTGGCAATCTACAGTTTTTTCCCAATTTTACACATTTGTACCTCCATCAAGAAGAGAAATCTCTGAGGCTACTTCAGCATACTTCCCACTTTTCTGTTTTTTCATAGATAAGTTGAAATTATGCAACAATGCGCATCTTTATTTATTATACTGTTATAAAGATTGAAAATCTTCATTTACCATCTTCAATAACCTATTATTTATTAAGGCAATTCACCAATCCCATGTGACTTAATTGATGCCATGTTCAAGAACCACAAGGCTGATTTGGCCAGTGGGCAGCTAGTTTAGCCCAGCAACGTGACCATACTGGCCTCCACTCTAGCCAAGGCTGCATGGAAAAGATTGGTTTAATATGTAAAGACCCATCCCATCCTGAAGACTGGATTTTGACTTACAACTCCCAATTAAATTTTTATCTCTGATCTGTAAAATAATATATGGAATGGAAAATAGATGCTATCAACCAAAATTTTACATTTCCAATCTATTAAAACTAGAATAGTATTTAAATGATATTAAATCTCTTTATTAGAATACGATTTAAAAAAAAAAAGTAAACCCAAAGAAAAATGAAAATTTGGGCATCATATAAACTAGCAAGTCATACCTCCAGCTTTAACAATGTCAACAAGATCATCCTTCAAAATTACTAGAATTGAACGAGGAATGACCCCAACACCCAAAACTTGTGTACTTTCTTGAATTTTGATTTCCTGATAATCGTGGCATATTATAGTATTTTCTACATACTGGAAAGTTGTCCCTTCACAAGATTTGGACTTCTGTCAATGGAGACAACAGATAAGTTATCAAATTCTAAAAGAATATATCACTAGAATATACCTAAACCTAAAGCATGTAAATTAACTTTAAGATTCATTAGAAAAGAAAAATTAAACACTTTATTTGATAAGAAAACATCATCAAATTCATTCTTCAAATTTAAAGTGTCTCAATCATAATGCACTGCCGATTATGATTTTAAAGGATTTAGCTACAAATTTTAGAGATCATCAAACACTTGGGGCTGGTGCTTACATACTATACATGTATCGGCAATATCAGGATGCTTTTAACTGATTCATCTTCAAATTAGGCAAAAATTAATAAGGGCAAAAAAATTATGAGACTTAACCTGTCATGGTTAGACAAGCAACCTGAGAGGGGCAACTGGATGGTAGTAGTATGGAGTTCCTTGTTTCCAACTCAGGATACACTGGAAACCTACAAAAAATAATTGTTAACTCAACTGATGACCTACTGATAGCAATATCCTAGTAGGCTGTCATAAAGCATACATCGTATAGTCAGATGATTTAAAACAAATCCTCATTATATATAGCTCGAAGAAGATCTAAGGCAATTTTATAGCCAATGATATTTGTCTTTTGGAAATACTAAGTTGAAACTACTAGATTAAACAATATATTGGTTGACAGCTGTTCATTTTCACACAGAGCAAAATGGATCAAAATGGCAATTCTCTCTTTTTGGATAAAAATTAAAGGACATCTATGCATGCTAAAGATGTACTCTATTAATACAGGATGCTAACTAATCCACTAGTACTTCAATATCTGTTATTCATGTGCACTCTCTTTTCGGAATTTATAATATTATTTGCAAGAAACAAAAGCAAATTTAAGAATTATTCTAACAATACATGACAATATTGATATTCGCACATTACAAATAATTCAAGACTCTCATCCTTTTTAAGAGCGCCTTTTTCAACCAAGGGTCTCCCAATATCATTTCCCCTCCCATATTACATAAACTTGAATATTATCAGGAATTTATAGCTATCACTTGGAAAATCTCTCAAATTTTGAAATACAGAACTGTTATAGTTGGTTAGTTATTCACCGCAAGAATATTTAGTTGTAGACCAAATGACATGCATAAGCTAGAAAGCCCAAAAGGATTCTTCAACGATTAAAGATGAACATTTTTGGGAGTAATAAAAGTCAACCACTTGACCGCTGTAGTCAACAAGGTCACTAGCTAGTGCTAGTTCAGCCAAGTTGAGTCCTTTGTCGCCAGCTTGGGAAATGACCCTACCCTTTAACATATTGGCAAAGACAACATAGATTTTTTGTAAGAGCTAATAAAATTCACCATTATTTATTCCAAATGATGATAATAACTTATACCAAATTCGTAATAGAATACCAAGCATATTAAACGAAGCTCATAACACTTGATAATTGGGTCAAAGTCATAATTAAAAGTTGATGTTCCTATCACTACACTATGGCCAGATATTGACAAGCTAGTAAGCTTGGTCTACTCCAAGTAAATAAGTCTGAAGAAGCTTACAGATTCCAATTCATTCACAAATAAACTAAGTTGGTGACAAAAATTCAGTCATTTGCCCTGGATCCTATTTCTGATCATTGCATCATAACAAACAATTAAGCCAATAAAAAATTGGACAATTGATAATGGTAAAACAGCAAGCATTTCAAACTCCTAGAATATCAAATAGAGAAATATGAAACTATATTTATAAATATTGGTATATGCATATGCATAAGCAGGTAGCATTCAACAGATCAAACCTACATGTGTTTGCATTTCCTGCACATGTATATCCTCTCGCCTTCATACATTTTGGTTGCTCCTGACCGGATAACAGTCCCCTTAAGTGTTAGAAGAATTCCATAGTGCTTCACTCTCACACGTCCAATACTTAGAAACGTTTCTAATGACATTTAAAATTCAATTATCAGGCAATCATTCAAAACAAAAACAACAAATGCCAATACAAAAGGAAAGAAATAAAAAATCCAAGCACATGAACAGAAGCAAACCAGGACATTCAAGCGGAGAACCACCGATGCTGATACGAACATGAATGAATTTCTTCTCAACTCCTTTCTCAGAAACCTTTAACTTGTCAAATATGATTTTCTACATACATTCATACATAATACCCACATCAAAATCATCAACCATAAACTTACACTAAAAGCTTACAGGAGCTCAAACCCAAGTCAAATATCTCAGTACAAGAAGCTTATACTGACAAATTAAGATAAACCCACATTTAATTTTTGTGTCTTTTGTCATTAAAATAATAATCCAGACCCACAGTACCCAACTGGAATCAAGAACCACTGATTTGGTAGTGATGCTGCTCAATAATTTCAAAGTTCAGTTGTTAGGTCCATTTATACAAGAAGAATACATTAGTAAACTCATTTAGCACATCCAATTTATCAATTTAATCAATTCAAAGTGGAATAATAAACCTGCAAAAATAGAACTTACATGAGCCCAGACGGCGGCATCATCGAAGAAACGCAAGTAGTGAGTTGGTTTGGAAAAGATGAGGTGGGCAAGCGGAGGATCCTCGTCCATTAGCTCTGCATAACTAAAGAGAAAAAGAGAGAATTTTAAGTTAATTACAAAGAAAAAAAAGATGGGCTGATAATAGCTAGTTTCAAATACATACTCAATGTAGAGAGGGTAATGGAGTTTGGGGTCTGGAGAAAGAGTAATGGAGCGGAGCTGATCCGAGTGGTGGCGAATCAGAAAAGCCGCTAGAGATTCCAAGTGAACCGGCACATATTCAGTCTCCATTGATGGTTGAGAATTGAGATTGAGAGTGAAGGTTGTGTTTGGGCGGGAACTAGGTTATTTATACAGGTTAATATTAACTCTAAAATCTCATCCATCCCCCTTCAAGTTTGCTAAATCTCTAATTAGCCCAAATTTTTTTACATTTTGACAATTTTGTCCTCGAATAAAATTATTATAAAGGATATCTAAATAATTTACTTTCTTAAAAAAAAATATTCAAACATTTTGACAAGCTTTAATAAAGTGCCTCTCAAAATTTAAAATTGAATTGTAATCCCGAATATTATTTTCTAACTATGATTATTTATCTTGAAAGATAGTCAATTTCATAAAGTAATTTAAGATTTTTACAAATTATGAGACGCTTATTAAGTTTGAGAGTATCCATTAAAGATCATCTCCAAGGTGTTGAAAATTAGTCAAAAAGTAGTCTTGGGTTGACATTATTTCATTACTTTTTCCTAACGTAAATGTATGAAAAGGTTGTTTTGCCCCCACTTTCAACTAACACAAACGAGCTTGAAAACCTAGTTTCATAATTCTTGAGTAACACAAACGGGTTGGCGTGGCGGTAAAAGAAGTTTGCTCTATTCTTTGAGTTCCTAGGTTCAAACCTTGAAACTATCTACCACAATAACATTACGATTTACCTAGTCTTTTGGGTTTGTAGAGTATTCAATAGACTTTGGGGATTAGTTGAGGTACACGCAAACTGGCTTAGACAACACAGCTACCAAAAAAAAAAAAAAAATTACAATCAAGTAAAGTCTTGAACACTTGTGTAAGCAAGTTAGAACTCTTTCTAGTTCAAATTTTCAAACTCTCAAAGTTTCTAAACAATTAAGTAACTCAAGTGACTATAATGTCCTAAAATTTGATTTATTGTCTAACCTAGTGGTCATATATGTCATGATTATTATATTAATAACTAAAGCGAATTAGCTAAAGTGTGATTTTAGAATTATCTTTCATGTACTGGGCTAAACAATAAAGGATAGTTAGCTAGATAAGTAAGGAGAGATTTAAGCTGACTTAAGGGAGTGATCCACATTGCTTAGGGACTGATTAGTTTGACCTATTTTTAATATTATTATGTAGAGGATTTTATTCCACGCCCCCTGAGAGATGAGGAAGTTTTAAACGCCCACATGATTATTGAAAAGTATTATATATTCCCTTATTAGGGTGAGTTTGGATACTTTATTAGCGGGATAAATGATAATCTAGGGTAGTACATAATACTTTCGCAAAAGCCAAAGAGTGTTTAAAACTTCTTTATTTGTCAAGGGTAGATGATGAAAACCTCCAAAATTCAATCAACATTCGGCTGTCGTAATGGAGATTTGATAGGTACTAGTTTAATAAACAATCACAAGTGATATACTGAAGTTTCAATGACTGAATATCAAAGTCATTGGAATATAATTATCAATCTTCATTTATACAACCATTAATGTCACGATATTTACTTATAATTAAAATGGTCATGTATCATTATAAGTATATATAGTTAAGAATTTCAAAGGCAGGATTCAGATTTTAGAAAACTAATTATTTAAGGTGGTGCGCATCTACTCTGACTGTAGAAAGAAATAATTAATTGAATTTGTCAAGACATGCATGGCATTAAATGGATTGAACTAGCTCAAAGTCATTTTCTCTATAAGGATCATACAACATCTCAGGTAGTAATCTTAGTCTTACAGAAGTAGTGATATGTTGAAGTACAACATTTTATAATGAATTGATTGTTATAAATTAATTAGTATTACAAATTTAAATCAAATATTTATATTACCATAGTTTAGGGTTTAAGGTTCGATACAGCTGGGGAATGTGGGGATGTGGGTTTTATATGATAAGGTATCCAACACATATAATTGATAATGGGTTTACATTATTGCTTTCTAATAATATTAGTATTATTTATCATTTCTAGTTATTGCTAAGTTTCCCAAATTTATAATTACTCTTTGTAACTTAAATATATATTCAATAAAATTTCAGTCTTTCTTAGTTTGAAATTATGGTTGTATGTCTTTAGCTAATTGTTGGTTGATTGAGGAAAATGACGATATGTTGAGGGATAATTTGATTGGCTGTAATACAAAAATTTAATGAATAATATAATATAATAGTTAATTTTTTGTATATTATTCAATTACATATTATTTTAGTTAATTTGTATACAAATTCGATAATAGTCATAAACCGTTAAAAGCATAATACAAAATTGGATAATAGATATTCACGTTTAAAGAATATCATCAGTTCTTTACGGTTCTTGACACTGGATTCACGATTGACATTTCTTGACACTAGATTCATGCACCCTCTCGTAACCGTGATTATAAGCGATTCTTCACGGCCTTTCTCTGAATACGAATTTGGTTTGTTCTAGTGTCGTCACCTATTAAATCAAGAAATCAGTGTCAAGGATGTTGCTATTTGTATACTTCTTTTTGTGTTCAATTTATATAGTTGGATTCTGAAAATTTGATTAGTTACAACGCATTTATGATTACTTTATACAACCTGTTTTGTGGCAGATCTACATTTTATACACACCTACTAAAATATTTCCTTACATTTAATTCATCGACTGTAGACCCTAGGATGTGTCAAACACTTCAGAAAAGAATTTTCAAATTTTTTAAAAACCTATTTATGACAGTGTAGGTCAGTAGACTTATAATAAACATAATATTGCAATTTCTCCCTGAGTCTTTCACCACGCCTCTCTCATTCGTCTCTCTTAGGGTGCGTTTTCTATTACTTGAAATGTTATATTAAGGGAAAGATAAATTACTTTGAAGATTACTGTGAATATTATATTAAATATGTTTGGTTAGATTAGAATCAATTGGTAGGTATGTTATATTGATATATTTGGTTGGGAGAAATAGATTGGTGGATATGTTATATAGATTACTGAATTGCCCTTCTATTTTAATATTATTATTTAGATTAATTTAACCCTTTATATTTAAAAATTTAGCTAAAACACCCCTATAATAAAAGTTTAAAAATTAACAAAAGACCTGTAACACCCACATGGAGGTATGTAATTTAATTTATGTTCTTATACCCTTAGTTGAATTTTGTTAAAGTTATTTTGAGAAAAATGTGAAGAAAATCCCTTAAACTTTCACTAGGGGTAAAATGGTCTTTTCACTCAAAATTAGTTGAAAAATTCGGGAGTGAAAAAAGATAGAATTTCATAGAGAATGCAATAAAAATGAGGGCATTATTGTAATTGATTAAGGAACATAGATAGAATTTCTAAGAAAGAGCACAAGGCAAAATGGGAAGGCATGTGTAATTGTAAGTTAATAAGGGTTTGGGTTTAGAAAACCCTTCATTTTTTCTTCTCCACCGCCATTCCCATTCACCACTTCCTCTCAACTCTTCTTTTAATTAAGAATCTTAGAGGGCTTTTTTAGTAGTTTGGGGTAGAAAGTTAATCTAAGGCATCCTAAGGTAGGGATTCTTGCTTTAGATGTGAAGTTTTGCTTATATAGGTATATTGAAGTCTTATGGTTTATTGTTTAAAGTGTAGAGAAGAGACAAGCTATCTAAGGAAAGGAAAGGTGTTAGTGAAATCTCTCCATTACAAGGTAAGTAAATCCAACCCAAGTTGAGTTTGAGAAATCCTTTGAGTAGAGATTTATGTATGTATAAGTATGTTATGTTATTGAGAATTGAGTTGAGATGATATTGCTTTGTGGTTGTTGAATACACTTCAATTATGAGAAGTATTGTTGAGTGATGAGAGTGTTGAGATGAAATTAAAAGAATTGGAGAAGTATTGTGAGAGTGTTTGTGCCGTGGGGTTATGTGGATGTGATACAAGAGAGTTTTTCTCTCATTTTGGATGGTTTAGGAAACAATTGAATGATAATTAAATTAGGGTTTGTTTAGGCATAATTGTTGTTTGATGAAATGCCTAAGTGAGAACATGTTACCATGGTTGCCCTGTCACAGTCGTAACCTTCTGAGTAATTTTTTGGCATCTTACAGATTGAACTGGGTTGAGACCAAAACATAAAAGTGTAGCCCTATCTCTATGCTTTAAAACGAGACAAAAATCGTAGCAATCCGATGTGTATAACTCAAGTTATGCCTTCTTGAGTGTGACCTGTACAGATGACTATTTGATGCAACATTGCATTTGTGCATTTCATAAGTGCATTAAGTAAGAAATTTTAAGCATGAACCACCTTATACATATTGTGCATTGAGAAGTAGCTTGAGAAAGAGTAGAGAACTTTGTGAATGAACTACTCTAAGAGTAGAGAGAATGAGAAAAACACAAAGAGCGGGTTGGTGCTTTGTGAACTCCACCCGGCAGTCACGAAGAGTGGGTTGGTGCTTTGTGAACTCCACCCGGTCGTGCCTAGTAAGATGAGGCCGTGATTTACAATAGAAATAATAAAAGAGAGCTATGTGGAGAGAGAAACAGAAAGAGAAATAAATGAGACGAGAAGTGGTAAGGAAAGAATTAAAAAAAGAGTTACGGTGATAGACGAGTATAAGATTTACTTACTGAGATTATTTTTGTGCTCACCCCGTTGTTCTTTGTGTTTACAGGATTTAGGTGGGACGCGGTCGGATTGGCGTCGGCAAGCGAGGAGCAATAGCTACACTGTCCACTGTTTTGATATTTTTTGTAAAATGATATCTTATGGTAATAAGAATGTTTATATGTAATAAAAGAAAATTTTGGGCCCATCTATTTTGTTGATATAAATGTATTTACTTTATGGATTTCTATGAGTATCCTAGTATAAAGGAGTTATTACAAGACCCGAGCCACCCAAGCTACTGTCAACCGCCAACCACCGCCACTGACCATCGGCAGTTGTGGCTGAACGGCGCACGATCGGTCGATATGGTCGATCGTGTGCCGATCTGGTCCTTTCTGGCAAGATCTTTGGACATAACGACCATGGATCTGGCCAATCTGACGGGCGTGCGCCGTTCCGACGTCGGCTAGTCGGTGGTGGCCAGATTTAGCCACCAATCTTGGGTAATTTTTAAGTTTAAGTGTATTTATGTCCTAAAAATTTGTATATAAGAATA